GTTCTTTTCCATAAATATTTTTGTTTCCAGCCTTAGTTTGTAGTAGAATGGGTTTCAAGCAGGTATCACTTAAAAATTCCACTGGAGAAAATTCGTAAAATATGGCAGAAAACTCGATCAAGATGGTTCACGATAAAGAGAAGGACCTAATTTTTTCGCCACCCAGTCATGTGCTGTAATAAGATCTTCACATTTTGACTCAGACCTCTTTACCACCTTCATGGATCATAAAGGCGACAGAAGAACGGAAATGTTGTAGATTTTATAGCATTCCCTTTGTTGTAATATCCAAGTCGTTTGACTGTTGGAGCTCAGAGATAGCATCGGAAAGTAAGAGTAAGCATTTCTCATTTCTCATTTCTCATCAGATCAGTTTTAAAGTTGATTTCGAAGAGCAGACTGACCTTCATGTACATGGATCTCATCAATTCAACATTTGCTGATGCATCTAAAGGCTAACCTTGCTCGAAAGCAAAAGAAAATTATGCTGTTGGAACCGATTTGAAGTTTACCTCGGTTTAGATAGCCATGGACCACCAATCTAGCTGACATCAGCATGTACCTCCACCAAACCAAATACCTGCTGCCTCTTAAGACTCTGTCCCACAGAAAGGTTTGTAAACGCCTAAAATGAAATCTAAACTTCGGATACATCAAAACTAGGAAAAGAGTTATCAAATTAATTCAAGGTTGAATTAGACCACGCGGAATGAACCGAGCAAGTTGCCTAATCGAGATCAGATCACTTGTCTACAGAAGATAGAACAATTTTCCAGAAACAAGTGTAAATACGGTCTAGTTCCTTCCAATATTTCTCCGAATAACTACTACTCTTACAGGCTAATAATTTAGACAGCCTCGGCATAGAAATGGGTTGACCTCGTTGTCGCAACTTGGTCTTGTTGTCAGGGCGACTTAGTAGAACGCACCTAGTCTCCTCGTTGTCGCAACTTGGTCTTGTTGCCAGGGCGACTATGTAGAACGCACCTAGTCCGAAGTCGTCTGCGAGTAGTTGTCATGATTTCCAGCATCAGACAGTCGACTTGGTACATTCTCAAATGTTTCACCGGCATCGTATTCGGCATCATCAGTCAGTTTTGCCGTTCGCCGCACCAAGCTACGAACTCGTCAAAGAGACAAGTGGAATCAACATTTGTCAAGGGATCGACTTTACTTGTCTCTTTGACGAGTTCTTAGGTTGGCGCGGAGAATGTCAAAACTGACTGATGATGCCGACTACGATGCCGGCGAAACTTTTGAGAATGTATCAAGTCGACTGTCTGATGCTGGGAATCATGACAACTATTATGGCAGACGACTTCGAACTTGGTGCGTTCTACATAGTCGCCCTGACAACAATAGCAAGTTGCGACAACGAGGTCAACCCACTTCTATTAAGCGAAAGGAGACTGCAACCATAACAGAGGCCACAACATCTTGATCTTCATATCTTCAATTAGCCTTGACATAGTTTGCCTGAACCTCATTAGTTTACTTCCTTTCGGGCATCTTCACTCCCAGCTACACAACCATCTTGATCTCTCTAATTCGACACATTCAGCCAAGCTCCAGCAGTAATAGTATCTGGGAAGAAGTATTAATTGGTATGTCTGACTTTTCTTTAAAATATTTTTGACATTACGGCACTAAAAAAGAGCATTTCCCCCTAAAATTTTGGCTACAGTCGAAAAATCGTCCAATTTTACATTTTGGTTTTATGAGTGCTTCTGCACAGTCAATTAGGCGCGTAATGAAAAACACCTTTCGCTTAAAGCTTCGAAATAGGATGCCTTGTTGGGAAGAAAATGAATGGGTACGTTTGTGTGTGTGTGTGGGTGACTGTGAACGTCTGCAGGTATGTCTGTGCTTGAGAAGATATGTTCTTGCACACATTCACACGCCAATCTCCATAAATATTCATAACGAAATCATTGTTTAGACATGCCAATTCCTCAGTCCGATTCAGAACATGCTCAGTTTGTCTGAGGCCCTTCCAATTACCTTGAAGGCACATTTATGAAGAGACTGATCGGTGTAACGCATTGTCACAGAACTGTGGCTCTCTTGTTCTGACATGCAGAATCAGAAGACTTAGCTTCCGAAGATGCACTTGTGGAAAACCGCAAACTCTGCAGACTCAGAAGGTCCTGTAAATACTTGCCACATTTTGGCATCTCAACCAGTGCCAGCCAAAAAGAGCCATGCTGGCAGACATTAGATGAAGATTGCTCATATTCATTATCACATTCCAACACATAAACTACCATGCATGCTCGTGATGACTTTGATTGTAGCTAAGAGATTGTTACGATGAGCTTGTTGGGCCGACCTTGCAAGAAGGCGAAGGTGAATTTTCCTCCATCTGTCATAGCTTGCTTTAAATGAGGCGCTCAGACTGAAGCAGTCCTCTTGACACGATCCTTCGGTTCCATTAAGAACGTACTAACCTCTCCTGCACACAAAACAGCAACCGCTTCACCATCACCACCACCACCAGCAACAACAGCATTAACAACAAAACAGCACATGCCTCCGAACAGGTCGTCAAGCATTAGGTATTTGGTTCCTGGAAGTCACTATTTAGTGTCTGGTATAACATTAAAAGTCTTTCATAGGTTCCATTTGAACACAAACAGTCAAAACTTATTAAAAACTTGACTTGCCAATTTTGTGAATCGTATGATACATTAATTTAATATGGCCATTAATTGGCTTTCATTTCGTGTATTACCTGATTTTTAGCAGGAACATAATTGATTATAATCGAAGGTATGAATACCAAGATGGTGTGGCCTTTTGTGTGGTCGCGGTCTCCTTTCGTTGTATACAAGTTGTTTGACCTTATTTTCGCGACTTGGTCATGTTGGTAGGAAGACTTAGAGGAACGCACCTAGTCCGGAGTCCACTGTATGCATCATCATTTTCAGAGTAGGACCGTGGACGTGGTACATTCCCAGACGTTTCGCCGGCATCGTA